AGCATACCCTTCGTTTAGTTCAGTGTATGATGAGTGAATCTTTAACATCAATAAGCTTTGTGTCAGTAGGACGCGGTTGCCACAATTACGTGATATAATATCCTTTGAGAACCTGTTTTAATTGTCGAGTCATTCTCACCCTAAACATTATCAAAACATGAACAGAAAAATCGTGCTTCCTATGTGCATATTTGAAAAAGTGTTCAGATTCTTAGACTATTGCATGAGGGCTAATGATACTAGCTGACCACTGGAATTTCACTAAGTGGAATGCAGAACAAACCCATGACCCACGTTGAAGAGTCGAGTGTTCTAACCAATAACCTAAAGCAAGGACATAAGCAGTATGTATTACTGTACGCAATTATTAATGCCGGAAACAGTGATTTCTGTACAGTATAGCTTATTGACACTATGCTTTTAGTTGACAAACAGAAATCCAAAAACTGAGGAAGCAACTGCAAGCTAAATCAGCTTCCTTTACCAGAAACTTTTATCCTTCTTTTGCAAAAACTTCAACAAACTTAAGCACACCTAAGTTTTTCCGGTTTAAGGTCATATTCAGAGAAGTTATTTAAACATTACAATCGGAAACTAGACTAGTCTGATTAAGGCAAATTAAGACCACCAGTATCGATTAGCACGAAAGTTTTTGTCCACGCTGCAGAGTGAAAAGAACTATAACAAGAATACAGATCACCCAGTATGTCAAGTTTGAACACTAGGGTATGAGCCAAACCTACTGTGCGATGCTGATAATATCCCGCAGCCAAATGTTCGATATGGCGACTAGACACAATATAAGACACAGAATAGAAGAGTACCAGTTCCATACTTTACATCAGGAAGGAAGTCAGTGAGAGGAGAGAAGGATCAGAAAGAAATACATCGGAAGTTGTATACAATTGAGATAACGATGGAGTTATAGACAGTATAACCTTCTCGCGATATGGGTGCATCTGCGTCACTACGACCGATTCAAAGGCATATCAACTTAAGTCTTTACCCACCGATTCCGACTGTCTTACAAATCTCAACCAGAGAAGCTAAACAGGCCAGGCTTCAAGGAACAAATTAATAGTGGGTTGGTGTATTTGGGAAATTTTTAAATAACTTCATTTTGGATAACTTATGACCTCATTAACTGATTCGTTGGCTTTATCTAATAGTTTATACTCACATATTAGTATTAAAACACGAACTTGATATAAAGTGGACACCCAGATATACAACATGCAAAATAATAAAACATTATGAAGACACAGTAAACGGAAGAGAGGATGGGAACAAAACCAGAATTGTATTATCAAAGAAGCAGTCTCAAAGATACTTCCCAAAAGCACCCACTACTTTCATTTTGCTTTTCAGTGAACATGCCAGTTTCATGGTCTCTTAGATCCCACGCAAAAGGTCGTAGGGCACCTACAGATGCTAACAGAAAAGTTATTCTTCATCGCACGGTGTAACCTCGTTCACAGGTCACCTCTTCGCTTCCTCCTACCAGTTTCAGGTTAAGTGAACAGTGACAGATGTGGGAGCCGCTGATACGATATATGTAACATATGCCCTACCTACCGAAGGTATTTCAAGATGACCACACTCCATGAATGACAATTCCCATCAAAAACACACAAACATGCTGTTTCACTTCAGAATTACTTATATGGTGTTTCTACCAGATGCAAGCAATCCTTTAGAGATAATGCTGATCGAAAGTGCAGAGTTGTCAGGCATATTCGGCTTAGAGGTTTTACAAGTGTAAGACAAAATTATCCGCACGGACACACGATATGCCCGATGTTTTACAGCATGGTTAACATCACACCGGCACCAAAGGTGATGCAGATTGGTGAATGCCACTGCCTTTTGATATAGAACTGGAAATACTAGTCATATCTCTACCAGAACTCACACAACTACCCAGGTATACAAACTCACTGACAACCTCCAGCGATTCACCACCAAGGGGGTAGAAACACGTTACACCTCGATTGTGCATAACATACGCCATACTTACAGCATCTGGTCGCCAAGTGACTAAGTAGCCTGCATGTTGTTGCACAGTAAAATCATATTATCCGCATACTCACTGTCAAAACGTTTTTCACCTGGTAACATGTTGACACCACCACTACGCACTTGTTTTCTAGGCTGTCTCGAGAATGTCATCGACGGCGAAATTCAGCAGGCCCACTATTTGTTACGAATAATTGAGATAGGTGGCTGAGATGTTGAAGAGGTTAGCAAACCTCTCAGGGTAGCCCACTTCAATAGGCAATTGCACAGTACAGTCTCGTCCAATGAATCAGAGACAACCATTAATATTGAGGAATGCAACGACTGATCGGCTACAATAGGTGTGAGCACATCATCAATGTATCCACGGCCTGCACAAATCCGAGTATGCTCCTCGAGGACCAGTTTCCTATGTTTTTCACAGCCTGTGAAGTGTAGTAGCAACCAACAGTTCATACGCTGCCCGTGGCGGACCGACGCACCGATGATTACCATATACATTACGTAGGCCCTTTTAAAGTTGGGTACAACAATCACTTCATTCGGGAGTGATGGGATACACTAATTCTGCCATATCTTTCCAAACAAGGCACTCAGTTCCCTGCATACAGCCTCGCCTCTTTCCTTAAAAGGGGTAGGCTATCTAGGTTTCGTTCTATAGTATTTGGAGTTCCTTACCGACCCCCACTTTGTTAGGTAGATCGATATTTAGCTGATCACAGAGCACACAACATTGAAGTTGACTTCACTGGAGCAGTAGGCTGCTGAAGTACTCCACCTAGCGTCTATAAAAGTAGATGATGGGCATAGCATCTCTATGCCTCCCTGAAACAAGGGTCCAGCTACCGGCGGTATAGATGTGCTGGAACACCTGACTTCTGTCAGATGCAGCTGCCGCTTCGGTCTCACTAGCGCCTTCTGACCACCAGTTGTCATTTCATCTGTCACATAAAGGGTTCACGCACACCACTCTAGTCGCTGTCTACCAGAATACACCGACAAGCGTAAAGAAACTGACAGGAACCGTGTTTAACAGCGGAGAGTTCCTCAAAGTCACAAACAGCTTGACCCACCATTTAATTGTCTTACGGATGCAGCTGATGTCCTTACTTTCTGTAGGCTCGCAAGGAGCCCTAAGTCTGGCTCAGTTTGGCATTTAGTCGCATTTCTGGAAGCAGTCAACTTGCTTGCATCAACCCGTTCACGACGACCATCAAAACGCAAGCTCAAATTAGCAGATACGACAGCGTGGTCACCGCTCAGAAAGATACTCCCCATGCTGTAATAATCTTGGATAAATCCACGCCATCACTAAGTAGTTACTATACGATCTATTCAAGATTTAGTGGCAGAGGCTAGGTAGCACAACGGCGATGGTTGTGCCATAAGTTGACGCCGGATAAAGTAGGCTTTGATCTGTGCAAAGCTGCAGAAGACAGCCTCCCTCATCCAAACAGCGACCAAGTAATCCGCACTGGCCACATAAACGATCCTACTCAGAGCCACAACGCCAGACATGAATATTGGGGTAACCAGTTAACACTACATCTGTCAAGTTCACGTGGTAGGAAGTCAACTAACTCATGGTAAAAGCTATCCTTAGCTGCATTGATGCTGAAGTCAGCTGCAGCATGGGCAGAGATAACGTGGTGAAACCGTTTTCCTTGCCAGTTAATTCGCACTCTATTCGAACAATTTAGGGTAGCAGCAAACATAACGACTCTACGACAGATTCTTTTGAATATATTGATGGTTAAATACATGTGCAATTCGCTAATCTTCCACCTTCAATAATTCACAGCCATGTACAACTGTTTTGAAAAGTTATATTCAAGTATTTATTATGTGAAGACCTACAACACTACTTGGATACCTCAAATACGGTAGATGCATTTGGGATCATTAGTTACAACTGCGGTGCTGAAAGAAAATATCTCATTTTATTCTGAGCAGAGTTTCCTTTTAAAATAGACAGAAAAGAGCGAGATGAGAACGATGATTTTGAACCAAGCAGACAACTTATTTTGTAAGTCTCCCATGTCAAAGATAAATGATTTGCACCAATTTTCGAATAAACAATTTTCAAAAGAATTCTCTAATCAAGATTTTGAATGAATCACTATCCTTTTAGATTTTCTGGCAGTTCTTCACTGGTTAGATGTTTGTCAAATTCGTGAGGATCAGGACGTATAGTACCTCATAACTAGTTGGTGAATGCAAGCAGTCCCTGTTACGTAACTAAAGAAGGTAGATAAAGACTAGTAATTATGCGAAAATAAGATGCGCAAGTGATAGCGTAATCTTGTGTGAGGATGAGGTAAATTTAGTCACACTTAAACACTCGAAATCAGACAACCAACCAAATCAACTTCGAATCCAACACAAGAGTGTTTCAGTTTAAAATGTCACAATTCACAACAGCATCCATGAGAATGAATAAAAAAAATAACATCCAAAGAGAAAGGTGCAGTAGAGGGACATAACTGAACATATTCAAGACTTCGAAGCTTAAAAAAGAGTGTATGCATCTGCACCATTCCAATCGATTTTTATCTCGAGGATCCTAGTCAGGCAGTCTACAATCTTTCGAAACCGCTCAGACCATCACTCCCCTAAGTTTCAATGAAAACAGTGCAAACCATAAAAAAAACATCTTTGTAATCTCACAAATATTCATGAATTGCAAAGAAATATTGACAATTTGATGATAAATATGTGAGAGTACGCAGCCGTCATGACCCGCCTGTCAATTATTTTTTTCAAATCTGATTTAAATGCAGCCTTTTTAAAGAGGGATAAATGTGTTTTAGAGTAGTAAAGTAAAAGAATAGGCATATTTAAAGAAGGGCAAAGTTGTAGGCGAATACAAATTTCTAAAAGGTAGAAAACATGTTCAGGCAACAACATTTTTATATTTCTTCACTATGTATATATAATTATGCCAGAATCCCAAAATTGGTGGTTTTTGCTTTTCTTGAAGAGGGCTATAAGATCAACTTCTTACACTGTTCCCATGGGAATTCTGGTCGACCAAAGTGACCGTAAACGGCTGTCTGCAGGTAACGCGGTGTTCTGAGATCCAAATCTCTGTGAAAAGAAATTGAAAGGCATTGTGACATCGTGATAAGAAATACATCTTATCATATCTTCATTAGTCTTATCATAATCTTTGTAAAGAACTAAGTCTCTACTTTTGATGACCCCATAAAATTTTCTTGACAACTATATATACAATAAGGCTAGTTAGACAGTTGGTCAGCTCCTGAATTTACAATGTGTTAACAACCACAAGAAAACGGCCATAATGCGCGGATGATTGGGCTGTGTATTCTAGGGGTTTAACCGTACAAGTAAAAACAACAATGATTTTGTGGTCTGGCTATCCTTTGATTGAAAATGAAAGATACAACGCAGGTCTGAAAAGCGAAGTGGATCTTTAATGGTGAGTATGCGCTACTGAAGAGGAGTCTTAAAAAATGTCAAGCACTGTATAAGAATTCCTTCTGAGGTGTTTACGAACAGATTACTATGAAATATAGACGAAGTGACATGCTACTTGAGAAATTGGATCATAAAGTGTTTATAGTATACAGATGAGCTAAGATGCTCACATTATGAGTTCTGATATACAAAAAAAAGCAAGTACCATTAAGTATTATGAATAACAGTGATCCATAGCCGATGACATAATGAAATAGTACAAAACTCAAACTTACTTGACAATCACACCAGGGCGTAAGTCAAAATTCTTTTCAATAATATTAAGCAGCTGTTTATCACTAATCTTTCCAGTTCCATAGCTATTTACGTTGATAGCTAGCGGTTCTGCAATCCCTATGGCGTAGGAGAGCTAGAAGTAATCCATAAAATAAAGAAAAGTTAGGGAAGCAGAAAAGAATTTTATTCTACAAATAAAATCATACTTGTAAAACGTATTTTCGGTCAGTCGACAATATGATTATGGTTGTTCATGCTGGGAAGCAAGATGTTAATCCCTGATAGATATAAAGGATGATGGCAGTAGACTGCATATATATTTGGTTGAAATATCTTATTATTTACCTCGGTTTACACATTCAAGTATTCCCACTGAGACAGCAAACATGAACGGCAAAATAAATTCAGTAACGACATGCACATTAGTGATTTAGGCAGCGAGCAACACTTATTGTGCGAGGGCTGAAGATGCTACTACTTAGCTACCCAAACCTCATAAGTTAGTTAGAAATCGAGTGCTTAGGCCAATGAGTGACAGATAGACAAAAAAGAAAGACTTAAGTGAGCAGATTTGCTTTCGGCGATATCATTCTCAGAAGCTTTTCAATGGCGTTTAAATATAATTCGCATGCACATACAACGCACAGTTATTCATGTTATTTTCGAAAGTAAAACTTTATCAATATGCCACTATCATTTTGCAGAATATGATGGGTAACAAGAAAGAAACTAGTATGAATGGAAAACAAATGTACAACTGAGTGCTCCTCCTACCTGAACTAGGACACGCCGACAAAGGCCAGCCTTCACGAGGGATTTGGCTACCCAACGTGCTGCATAGGCTGCTGATCGATCTACTTTTGAATAATCCTTCCCTGAGAACGCTCCACCACCGTGTGCACCCCAACCGCCATACGTGTCCACAATGATCTTTCGACCTGAAGTAACAACCAAGCAGAAAAAGCATAGAGAAGTGCTGACATGAATAAAATTGAGCATGCATAACCAAAATAGTGAAAAATTGATTCTACTCAATATCGATTATGTCACCGTTCCCTTCTGAAAATGTGCGCAAATCAAAAATTGAGCATTTAAAGGGAGGAAAAACCAATTTTCAAAAACATATTTTGGATACTTATGACGAAATTTACTGTTAACACTGGCTACAGTTGCAATAATGTTGGCAGTTGAAGACGTTAAATAGCAAAACAAAGTTACGTAATATATTCAGATCGTTCATAAGGTGCACATAGATTTCAAAGGGAAGAAAACATGGTAGAGCTGATGAACAAACAAAGGAATGGATAACGTGAATGAAACAAGTCATTCAAGATGAAATGAATGTTTTTGTTAAAAGTTGTGACCAATGGGAAGAATAAGTGAAGTAACACCGAAAACTATTAAATGTATGAAGAATGATGATAAAAGAATGAGGACGTTAATCCAGCAAAGAGAAAAGTTGTAAAACGAAACAAGACAAAATGAAGTAAAGACAGGAATGCAACATACTTTTTTGTACATAAAAGTTAGGCTTCAATACACCAATGGCGAAGGCCTCTCCATTTGCTTCAAGAAGTTGGGAACGAAGAAAACTTGGAATGCTGAAGCGAATTTTATAAACAGCTTAGGAAGTACTATTTGGATCAGTTGAATGGTTGGTATCAATCGAAATTTTACGGATGGAACTTCTAAGACATTTTCTTTTACCCCTATAGAATCAGGTTGAAGTATGTTTTCTTACGCTGTTAACACTGGCTTTCATCATCTTCCAATTTATGGGAAATTTTTTATAATCACGCACCAGAAACGCTTTTAAGATCCATTTAATGTGTAAAGAAGTTGAACATTTTCACAAACTACTACTAGGAATCTTGTATACGAACATTGACATTAAATTCTCGGCAAAAAAACAACACGAGTGAATTTCATCATCATCATCAATATCAACATAGGACCAGGCATTACTGAGTAACGGTCCGAGTTCCCACAGCTCTTATCAGTACATCAAATAAAAAGGCATTGAGGTGCAAGATGAAGATAAGAGGATGCAGTCAAAAGAAAGAGAGAGAGAAAGGAAGAATAAGAAAATGATGAGATTCGGTATAGTGTCGTTAAGATGAGGATAATGTATGCATACATCTGAGCCAATGACTTTGGTTCTGAGCCATATCATCTAGAGTCTCCAACCACTGGTTTCTCTTATCCCGCGGACCCCAACCACCTAGTCTGCATCGCCCCACATGGCTCAAACCAACAGTCAAAGACTCCATACAATGGTGCCATGTTTTAGTCTGGCAGCCTCGAGCCGTTTTCCAGCCTGAACCTACTTCGACCAATATTGTGTGACGAGGCAATCGGTGACTAGGCATACGTAACGTTCCTAACCATCTCAGTCGAAGAAGGTTCATACACCTCATCAACTGATTCACCTCTACTCCCTAAAACTCTACACCTGACGTCTGCGTTACTCACGTGGGACACCAAGGAATACAGCCTATACTACGAAGGCAATGGTGGTCAAACACAAAAAGCCTTCTCATGTCTTCTACCTTCAATCGCCATATTTCACAGACATACAGTAGAACAGACCGGACTAGTGTGCAGAACACGCGATCCTTAATAAACAATCGGATATCACGACGGCCACATAGGTGGCGAAAGCCAGCAGAACCTTTTGTATCTATGTGGAGATTTTATCGACCACTGAGCCACCAGAGCAGGGCTGATCCTACTTCCCAGGTAAGTGAAGTGGTCGACACACTCAATTAATGCACTCTCTGTTATTAGCAATGGCATCGTTGAAGACCAATCCTGGAGCAAGAATTTGCATTTGGGTAGTGAGAAACGCATCCCAAACATTCTCAAATTCCCACTCAGTGTTCAGAAGACTCTGCATCTTGTCAGCATCTTCACCCAACAGGACTGTCATCTGCATATTCTAGGTCTGACGAAAATTCTCCCGCGATTACGTCAACCTCTGTGTAATCAGGTGACGAGAGGGAGACCTCCATGAGAATATCTATGATAAAACTGAATGAGAATGGAGACAGTGGGCACCCTTGACGGACACCATTTGGTGAGCATAGCTCCCTGGACATCTCACTACAGGCTTTAACACGCCCGCAAGTGTTCGAGTAGACAGCCTTCAATAAGGTGATGTACTTATTCGGCACGCCTTTCAGTGAATTCTAACTAAAAATGAAAGATTTGCATTATGCTTCTTTTCGGAAGTTATTTCAAACGGCGAGTCAGAGAAAATCAGTAATATACTAACAGAATAACAAGTAGTTCAAAATGACAGTATAATCGGAATAAGCAATCCCCTAAAAGTACGATCTCTGGTTAGTTACTCATCCATTCATGAGTCGTAAGTCATATCTTTTAACCCACAGCTCACCAACGACTAAATACGCAGGGACAATGAAATACATTCACGTACGAAAAAACCTATGAAGAGATACCAATTAGTTACAGAAGTCTATATGTGATAATTCGTGCTAAACTTCAGGTTGCATTTTGGAGTTATTCAGTCTATATATATTCGCTTTAAGGATTTTGCGCCAAAACTGAAATTGAGGCATGGCTAATTAAAGTGAGAGCTTTTTGATACCCGTTTAACGCTGGTGATACATCTGCCAGGGTAGTAAGGGTCAAGTGTACAGTATACAATACATTAAATAGTAGCAAAGTATGACCACTGTAGTGGCTGGCAACATATGGGAGGGTACATCCACCTGTCACATACACCAAACACGTTGCTGTCAGAAACAGTTAAAGGAAGATTTGATTTTAATCTATAGTTTTATTATGTACTGATTTAACTAGTGCAGTAATATCAACTTACACATTGATTAGTTAAGACTGAATGTTTTAAGGATATTGGGGTTCGATCACAGATGTATCAAGTTATTAATCTGCTGCTAAAATCAATTGTCAAAATAAGTCCAAACCTATTGTTTTGCTATCCTTTTTTCCGGTTACCTATTGATCTTACACAGTTTCCTCACTTTCTGTGTGATTCGTCGGCAAAAGATGAACTGCTATGGAGAGTGTGCGTGAAGAGGAGAGATTAAGACTTTCAGTTTGAACAGCCTACTTACTTCGTTATGGATGAAAGCTTGAAGCCAGGTATAAACCTCATTCTTAATACGGTTAATCTCTTACTATAAAAGTCTAAGAAATAAGAGTATCTTAGGTGTATATAGTTAACATCTTGATACATGGTCGAGAAATTTTAAATCTACGAAATTTGGACAATAGTCTACCTACAAATCTGAGTATTAAAACCTATCTACTACCATTAAATAACAGGAAAATGATAAGAGCGAACGAGTAGGAAACCGCAGGGACATGTTTTTACACCTACATGACTACTCAGTCAGGAATTTTATAGAATGTCTTGTTTGGATTATTGACCATAGAGATTATTTACAAGTGATTGATAAGAACAACCGACTAGTATTATACCTCATAGAAGAGAAGTGGCATCAAAAACATTTTAAAATTGTCCAGTTTTTGGAAGTTACCTGTCAGACCAGCATCACTTTGTGGACCTCCAATTACAAATCTTCCGGCTGGATTCAAGTGATACTTAGTTCTTTCATCCAAAAGTTTGCCAGGTATCACCTCCTTGATAACATGTTCCATCAAATCGGTACGCACTTTTTCTAGTGTCACGTGTTCATCGTGTTGTGTAGAAATGACGACTGTATGCACTCGTAAAGGTCGGCAAGCGCCATGATCGTCCAAGTATTCTACAGTCACCTATACGACGCACAAAACCAAAGTGATCCATGAGTGACAGCTCATTGGCTGTTTGAAAGTAAAAAATTATCAATAAATGAGCACATAAAAACCTATGTTGTTTTTTAGTCGAATTCTGAATGAGGAGTCATTTTTTGTGGGTAGAGAAACTAAAAGATGAAAAGTAGAGAAGGATTAGTGGAATTGATTCTATTCTATACAGAGTAGCACTGGCTAGATCATAAGACTGGGAAAACTGCTCAAGTCGTATTGATCAATATTATATTGACGTGATCTCCATTCTGGTTTAGCTTACAGAATCCCATGAAGTGCTTGGAACAACCTCATTAAGCGCTCGAAAAGTATTCAATGTTTGTTGATTTGGGGACCTTATGACATCAGCATCCAGCCTAACTGAAGTCCCACTAAGTGCTAGAGCGAAAAATGCGCTGGATAAATAAGTTCCCAATGAGAGTTGCGTGCTGTTAGGCTACAAAATTCGGCTGGAGTAAGAATTAACTGATGAGAGAAAAGATCTCTTTTTGTTATTTCTGTGCATGCCTCAATAGACTGTAGCCTGAATGCGGATAAAGATGGGTCCTACCATCCACTGAGTGGCCCCTATCAGATCAACTTAACAAATATTGTAGTGCGTTAGATTTAGCAAACGGTTGGCTAGGTCACCAACGAAGATTAACTACTGTTAGATAGGTTAATAGGTATCGCATTCTGCAGCATAGAGCAGATAAGTGATTACTAGTTTTAGCACCGATTCCCTGCATTCGTCATTTTTATGCTATCTACACGCCACTAAAGCTTTAATTACAAGTCACAAAACAATTAGCTACTAATGCAATGGGTGCATTTAGGATTATCCTTTCTTTTGGAACACCTGTTTGAACTCATATTGCTTTGATGCGTGCTAAGTTGGTGATCAAAATTATTGTCGAAAATGGGTTTATACAAAACAGACCAGTTGCAATAAATATTTCTACCAAATACCAAGTTGGGGTACATTCAGCCATCGAAAGTACAGCCATACACTTGGTGTATCCGCAAGACGCTATGAAAAGGATGAAAAAAGTTGTCTGCAGATTCAAAAAATGTCTCCAGCTAATAAACATCGAGTCTGTTTTTCGAACTCCTCGACAATCATTGTTGCATACTGGTGAGTAGCGAATACAATGATAAGGACAAATTTTAATGTGCAACAGATCAAAATGGTGATTATGCAAGGAATGTGAGTCACAGCAGTCATAATGTGGAAATGAGATGAGAACAGTGGCTATCTCTAGCACTAGTCGGAAGTTGTTCCAGTTCATCTAAGTCAATAGCATCAAAAAGTCTGGTAACAATGAGAGTCTACCAAGTAAATAGTACACCGATTAGCAATACAGCTGAACTACTGCTCGAGAATCTTTAACCTTAACCTCTTGTGCTCCATGATCCAGTTAACACCGATCCATTGACAGAAAAAGGATCAGAAGAAATTCCAAGTACTGAAGTGATTTAAGGCAATCAGTTCAGACAATGTATTTCGGTTTCTTTGAAACCTGAGAGTGAGACTATGATTAGATGGCAGGCTAGATTATTCGAAATAGATGGTACTTTAACACTCTGAAACGACACCACATTTACGCAACTCTCAGAAAAGGAGCTGGACGTTGGATGCGAGAAACACTGGTCACTAGCCTACTATCAAATACGTCTAAAATACCGACTGCTATAGTACTTTGCAACACTTGTAAGACATATTCGATTTGTGAGGGTAGACGGGTTTCGTTCAGAACATGGATACATTGACCACTGTCTAGCGTGGCGTCCACCAAAATCAAGTTAACGATGGGCACAGGCAGACCATATAACCAGTTACCATTGGAGGGTCGATGGCAGATGACTGCTCGTTCTGTAGAACGTCCTTGAACAGTGATCACGCATTGCACCAGTAGATGAAGTCTCTGACTCTTGGTTTGAGGTTTGTGGGGAGATGAAGACTATCCGCCGAGATAATAGGTATCAGTGGTTGGGGACTGACTTGGTGACATGGCTGAAAATCGGTCACAGTGGCGCGAATGTATTTACTCTTTGACGTCTTCTAAAACTCGAATATTTGCACCAACAGTCATCATTATATTGTCTATTGTCACACAACTTTGTCTACTGTGATATCACTTTTTCTAAACAACTGGTTTTCTGTACATCGCTATGAAGTGTGGCAACTTGAACGGATGGACTTGTATGGGAGGCTCTACGTTGATTTTGTCTTCGTCTGACTAGTGGCAGTCAACCATGTCGATCGAGGGGTACCTGTTTGACTGGCAAAATCAACGTAGAACATCGCACAGAAGTGTATTCGTTCTTGAACAGGTAACAGTTTGGACTCCACTAACGTGGTAGGGTGGGCAAGTACATGTCTGCACCTTAATGGGCGCAGAAAACAGGAGACAGTGAAGTCTTTGCATCCTCGACTGAAAGATGAGAATGTCAAGGGTGCATTGAGGGGAGAGATACCTAAACATTTACCTGAGCATAGTAGCGATTCTCCTCTTGATAAAGCCTAGCATAATATTGTTTGTTGTAGAAACAGCGATAATGGTAGTTAGTCAATTACAACAAAAATTTAGCAACAGTTAGTGGATTTTAACGATTTCATTCAAATAGATTGCTGGTAGAAGACTCATTCCGGCTACCTCTGACTGCACAGTGGAGGAAAAGGAGCTCAAACGTTAACTGAGAAGATTCAGTGATACCAAGGGGTTAGATGAGAACATTTGATCATCCTACCGCCTAGTGTCTTTTTGACACATACTATGACGTAACTCTTATCAGCAGAAAAGATTTAGTCCAAACTACTGTCATAACATCCATGAGATTACCTAGCCTTAGGCTGATGAATGGAAAACCAAACTTTACACACTTTCACAAGTCAAACTTACTTGAGTTTTCGAATCAGGACCAGCCCATGGTAAAATGCCGTTACGTCTACATGTAGCCAAACGCTTATTCAGAGCGTGTGATAGAGTAACTGTTAGCGGCATGCACTCGTCTGTTTCATCAGTTGCATAGCCAAACATTAAGCCCTGAAAGCAAAAACAAGCGCAAATACATGGTTAGATAGTAATGTTTATGAATGAGTTACCACCTCAGGACTAGACCAACCGATAACAGTACCAAACAAACCATCTTTGTGTTCACTGACTATAACTCGTCCCCCAACTAACTTTAGTATACTATTTGAGTTTAGGCGAATATGTTAACAACTGAAGCTAAACATACTAATTTACATCGTGAATTAGCCACTCGCCAGTAAGAATAAACGTACTTTATTTTGAAAGCTACTCCCTAACAGTACACACAAAAATCCTTGCGCATTAACAAGTAGTGTGAAATAATCGAATCGAATAAGCAGTGCTCAAAACCACAAAACCACATATATCGTACTTTATGTTGGCACAAAAAATCCTGAACATAACTACCCTTTCGCTGAATTCTAAAGTGCTTACACACAAAATACTGCCACCAAATTCAATTACATCACCCATCTACCTTTTTTGACTACTGATCACTCCAAAAAACGATAACATCTCGTCAGCCAATCAACCGACAACTGCTGTGAATAGATCCAAGTGTAAAGCAACTATCAGGAATCTTGGAATGAACTTAAAGCAAGTGTTAGTCTATAAAAGACATCTCTTAGCGGAGATGTACATTTAAAGTTTGCAAAAGTATTATATATGCCTTGCTAGCTCCATCGTGAAAGCGATGACTGGTATTGCACTGCAACATTATCTGGGTTGGTAAATAAAACTAAGCCCAATAGTTTAATCAGGCTGTTCACATAGATAAAATGCATATTTTGCTTTGTTACTATCATCTATCAACAAAGAGACTGGCATTACTGCGTAACTGTTCGAGTTGCGACAGCTCATATCATTACATCAAATAAAAAGACAGTGAGGTGGAAGATGAAAAGAACGCCCAGTCAAAAAGAAATATGAAGTACGAAAAGAAAAAGAAGAATGAGAAAATGGTGAGACTCGGTTAAGCGTTAAGATGAGGATAATATGTACATACATCTGCACCACTAATTTTTTTACCATCAGACAAGCGATGAAAATCGGTTATAATTGTGCTAGATTGAATTATGTCCCATGAATGAGGCCTGCCACTGTGTATTTTTTCGAACTAGAGTAAGATTCGACCCGAAATTATAGTACAATAAGGACGTGACTGGACCGACCGATCGCAAACCTTAGGTGGCTACTTGTTAAGAACTGGAACTCAGGGTTGATTTCGCAGACTGAAATAGACCTAATCTCATTAGTGTCAAGATGAACTAGACATCGGATACCGAATATAGTCGGTTTACTGCAGGTTGATGAAAGTAAGTAGAAACGACACACTCTTGCATCAGTTACATAGAACGCTTGACCGAAATACTTGAGGACGCTGTCTATAACTCGCAGTCATCTCATTTGGCTGGTCATGTTTCTTTGCGCTTAAAAATTTTATCATCAAAAGTTTAACACTCATTTTCCTTGAAAATACATAGGTTGGATCTAACTTGGATAAGGCTAATTACAGATGCTTAGAGGGTGTACTAAAAATGACTCCAACAGGCAGTGTCAATAATAGAGGTGTTTTAATTTGGTTACGAAAATTCACTGCTGATAACGATTACCTGGTCTCCAGCACCAATGTCTTCAACTCGTCTTCCTTCATGTACACCCCTCGCTATATCTGGGCTTGCTGCTCAATGGCTGTCATGATATTGCAGTTCTTATAGTCCAAACCCTTCAGTATATCATCGTAACCAATATGTGCTACTACATCACGGACAGTTTTTTGGATATCAACTACAGCATTCGATGAAATTTCACCACCAACCAAGATAAGGCCACTCTTTGCAAATGATTCTGAATTTGTATAAGAAGACTATCAAAAAACTTTACCACATGCCACCTTTGCTTCAGGGTCCTGGCGCAAGAATTCGTCTAGAATAGCATCACTTATCTGATCACAGATTTTATCTAAACCCCTATAAATGAGTAATTGACAAAGCATACCTGGATGTCCTTCACCAACAGATTCAGAAGTGAACAAAAAGGTGTCCACATCCCCATTCATACCGTTAGTATAAGAAGGCATCCTTGTGGAATTCTACACAGACAGGCGGGAACTTAAAAGTGTACCGTGCAGTCTGAACAATCGTCTTAGCACAGCTAAACAATATACATGATTTCATTTCCATAACAGTCTGAAGCAATTAGCAGTTTTCTTCTATTTTCTCTCTTTTGAAATAATCTCACAAACCTTAAGATTCTTAAGAGCACCTGCTTTCAATAAAGCATCCAAGATGAACTGGAGTTGTGGTATCAACACAAGGGATTATCATTCCCATGTTCAGCAGACATGTGATGTAGTATGCTGTGCAATGCTTTTTGTTGCTCAAAAGATATTCAGGTGACTCAGTGTCAAGTCAAATTTTGAGGCAACTCTTCGTGAAAGCTCATTTGCTAACGCTGAGGTATAAGTTAACATTTATTATGTTCGCACGTCAAAGCTAAGTATGATTTCTTCAGTGCGCCTTCATATATCAAACCTTTTTAACAAAAGCTTGAAGTTCTTTTTGACGACGTATAATTCTAAGCACAATTGTTTTTTGATAATAGTGGGCTTTTCCTCTGAGATTATACAACCAGTCCTAAAGGCTGTCAAGACGACCGAATGCTTGAGTCAGACTGTTGCTGTTTTAAACGCAGCCACTAACACGCTAATTCCAGGATATTTCAACACATCAGAGCTTTTTTCGGGGTCACTTGGCAGGTGGAAGCAGTGACTCAACCCAACTATGATTCTACAACCTTGCTGAGGAATTGAGGAATGGCAGATCTCGCTTACAGAACAACTTCATAGATAAGGAGTTCTTCAGAGATGACCCAAGACTCCTGTTCTCTTTGGCCAGGAGTGGCCGTCTTAATACCGGCTTCCAGTGCGTCCATATTTCCAAACTAGATTGACTCTCTGACGATTTTCGTCTCAACTTTAGATGATTGAACATCTCAGCTTGTCGCAGGGCACTGAAACAAAAGGGAGGAGAAGCAAAACACGTCTGGCTGTACGAAGGCACTGAAGTGGGATTGGCGCTTGACAACTCATGCTCTCAACTTCGGCTGCCATCCTTCCCTGAACAGTTCCCGAATTAGGCCTAGAACGCTTTAACAGAGGGTCAGCCGAATCCGTTCGAGGACCTGGGCATAAAAAATACAACGAATGACCAGCGACCCATAACTTTTGGAATATAGAATACTGAGATGAGGGACTGATGTTGATATGCAGTATCTCAAGCAACCCTGTGGAGCTACCTCGTCACTTAGCTAACCTCACTTGTGATTCCGACCCCAAAAGGCACATAATAAATCATGCCTAGGACATGGCAGTCAGATGTTAGGCACAGCGTCTGCATCTTGATGGTTGCTGAATTTTGGAACGCCCACCTGTGGACGTGGTTCAGACTGTTTTGTCTGAATCCCTTGAACGCCGATTTGGCGTCTGCTAATGATTTGGGTAAGGCCTAATCTTAGCTAATTTACTTTTCCTGTTTCGGTGACTATCTTTCTTTCTTTTGTTTTGGACGTAAATTAGCAACCAAATGGAGCCTGTGATCCACTGCTTCTAGACACGGGAGCTTGTTGAGCAGAGGTCCCCTCCGGTTGCGCCAACAACTTTAGCAGAAAAATGATTTGAAACTCCCCTCTGGTCACCCTATTTGACAGTGCTGAGATTTATTTGAATTTTTTTACCTTCCTTATGGATGGTGTGCTTTGACCCCAGCCGATGTGACGATATTTGGTTGTTTGGCTGTCTCCTTTGACTTTGCACTCAGTATTCGCCTTTGTATGATTGAGACTCATCATGAATGTTCCACTTTCCTACTACGTGACGCTGGACTGTTGACAAGGTGATTTTGTTTTACTGCGCCCGACACTTTGTTTTGGTTCAACTTACGGTTGTACTGTGATTTGGCTGCTTATCTATTGACTGTCTGCTGGAAATGTTTATTTGTTGATTCAATTCTGGCAGACAGAGTTTTGATCCCTATTGCCGGGAATATTTTGCTGACTGTCAGGTACTTAACCCTTGTATCTGTCTAACCAGTTTTTACCATATAGTGGGTATTTGTACTCGAGAGCGTTAGGACTGTATAGTTACCAAATGGTACTGTTGAAGTATTTTGTAATTTTGATATAACCTATTGTTGCTTTGATAGTACTACAGATTTCGTCAAAATCCACCGCTGATTTACTACTAACCGTGTTTTGATTTTTGATTCAACCCTTGACTGTGCGTCACCCGCGGAATTTCGGGAGCTGTACAGTAGGACGCAGGAGCTAGTCATATTCGCGCTATTTGGCACCGCCCTGTTGTTTCCTGCGTTCTGGTCAAGATTATTATTATCATTATGAAATAAATAAGCATATCACACCGGTCCTCACGGGTTAACCTGGTACTTTGGTGGTATTCATTAGGCTTCACAGTATGACATCTATATTTTTCCCTCATTTAGGGAAAGTAAACGTTTTCACGAGACTTGTGATTATAGAAAAGGCTCCAGATGCATGGATTATGTGGACGTGTGTAGAACTATATAGTTGCTAAGGAATTCCCTAATCGGAATGAACCTAACTGAAAAGTTATGTAAGTTGGGCAATTTGGTGAAACTATAAAGACAAAACATTATTTTATGGACTTACATCGATTTTTCAAGACTTAATTATAAGTGCACTTAGGGCTAAGGCTTTTCTTCCAAGAACAGGCCAAGTAGCGTGGGTGAAATATCTAGGTCATCTTCAAAAAGACTTTGCTCAGACCGCTAATACCAACCGGCGTGGCTAAAAGGGGCGTGGGACTGGGCAACGAGAGTGGTATCCAGCCGGGACGTCAGATGAGTAAACTAAGGCCAGCAGTTGTGCATCACGAGCGAGGAGTTCAAATGCAGTCGGCGGCGATAATTTAACAGAGGCCATGGTCACTTAAGGTAGTTAGCGAAGTATTATTACTGTTGGTGATAGTGCTAACGGTAACAAAGAAGTGTACACAGCTTGGTGCGTACTATAGTCTCATATTTGGCCAACACTTTAGAGCATTATTGCAGATATTTCGCCTGACTAAAAATTCACCCCATAGGCTCCTGCACCTGAAACGTCCTTCTCGGGCTGTTGACTCACTCTGACTTTTGCAACATGGCACAGCCACTTTACTGCGATAACGTATACTGTAACTGTGCTGAGGAGATTCCTGTGCAGTACACATCCATAGTTAAGTAAAAAAGATGAGTAGCCGAAGTCAGGCCTCTTAAGCTGGGTGTGAGATCAACTTAAGTGCGCTGAAGTATTTCTCCAGGCCAACGTTGTGCGCCTAAAGCAACCAAGTGGTTTTGCGGTACTTAGTTGAACACTGCGAGACCTTTTCAAGAGGCTTCGTGACCTTCCTCAAGACCTTTCGTTGGTTCCCGTTCCGCATGAGTAAGTCGTTTCTACAAGTGCTTAATGGTGACACTACAGAAATTCGCAAACATCTATCTTTCACTCTGAACAAAATAGTAGCGCGTCGAACGATTTATCAGGGTAAAGCCAACGAGATTAGAATTTGTGACGCTGCATAACATACGATGGTAGCCGGTGAGCTGAACTACAAGGGGTTGTAAGTGACTCGGTTTGCTGCCTACGTAGGTATGAAAAATAGAGGGTAAACTGACTTAACGAGGGACGAGTGAATTGAAAACATGCTGTGAACAGAAGGGTAAGGGAACAGTTTCATTGGCAATGTGGGATAGACGAGAATTAAGGGGTGCAACATATTGGAGACGTGCAATAAAACCTGAACCACGCCTTTAAAACCTATAATTGACCCGCAGGGCAGAAGAAAAACGTGCGTGGAAGCGAGGAATAGGGAATACGGGAGGTGATTTTGCGCCTAACCCACTGTTTGCTACTTCACTCCGTGTTCTCCCAGACCACATTTTACACGTGTATTTTGCTTACATATTATGAATCTAAATCACCAGCAAGCATCGAGTTTTCTGAATATTTTCGTGACACAAAATCTATGTTGATCAAAAGCTTCGATTCGAAGGTCATAGTAACGGCTGGGTTATATACAAAGATGTACATCACGGCCATACCAAGTAAACCTTCTCCGAACAACGCTGATGTGAAAACAGTTTTCCAACGTGAACATCACTTACTTCACCCGTCTTCCGTCACTTTACTTGACGTGTACCAACGATCTACGTCGTCCGTTTAATGTGGGCCCAGCAAACGACTCTTGCTACATTTCAAGTAACACGTGAGTCTTGAGAAGAATGACAGGCACCGCTTTTTAGGCTAACTGCCGATTCTTTAGCAAACAGACTTCAGCGGCCACAATGCTTCTGTAGAAAACTACAGAATCACGACTTCATATTTCTTTATTTCCCCCTAGAAATTCATTCGTTGCAATAATTAATGGTAATAATCCCTCATTTCAAACCTCCAAGTGAATGAATAAATATTTTATTCTCACACTGGCAAGTTAACACGATAGAAAGCTGTTTACAGGCCTCATCACATTGGTATATGTCAAAAAACCTGCAAGATTTTACGGGTCCCGAATGGCACAGAGGATATGTCATAAAACTTTATTAAAAACATCAGAAGATCCCACTAGTTATGAAACGAACAAGAAAATATCACTTTTCAGAGGATACGGAGTGTTAAGGTCTAGATAATAATAATTCTTATTCTCATATGATGCATTCAACACAAGAGATCAATTTACAGGCATCGTCAAATTGAAAATTCTTGAGAGTTTTCAAAGTGGTGCTTGGTATCGGGCAATTCCAAACTTTTGTGATACAATATAAAACTACCGGTATGTGGTGTTTCAACGGATCCATTTCCTGTACAACATCCCAAACGAAATAATTACGGCATCCGAATAGTGTTGACAATGACAGTATCAAATGCAACTGTACGAAAAAGACAGCACCTTTTGCATTCGTATCTGACCTGAACGCATGGATGGGTGGCGTCACGCACTTCTTCAGAATCGGTAGCCTGGGGTTCGACGAGATCCAACATTGATGCTGACCCTCACAGTTTAGCTAG